TTTTATGGAGTTAATCGATTTGGCAAATAAACGGCTCATATTATAATATTTGGCATGTAATTAGTTCGAAATATATATATATATATATATATATATATATATATCTGCATGGAAATAAATAAAGATGTAAAAGATTTAGCGGATAATTAGCTCGTAATACATATTTTCCTTCCCCTCTCGACCCTCTGCATTCGATGCAAATAAGTAAAGAGGCAAAAGATTTGAATCTAATCGAAAAGCGTGATACGAAAGACTCCGAACGTTAACCGTTCCGCTTGAAAACGATTTCTCGCGCGAGCGTTCTCCTCGTCGTTGCTTTTTCAGAGAATCGACATTTTTCTATTCAATATTTACGCCGAATGCTCGCTGCGCATAAGGAAGAAACGTGCATACCGCGATTACGCAAGTAGGTAACTTTCTTAGCCTGGGCAGGGGCAATAAACGGTAATAGCGTTAAGTAGCGTAAACGCCTCTATCCGGAGACTCGATACAACGGCTCATAAACGTTCCTTGATTTCCGTTTCTTGTAAGAACGCTAAAATAATACCTAATCTTTTGCATCAGTTTGAGCGATCAAATATTTTTACACATGTCCGATCGTTCGATAAGCGAAAGTCTAAACGAAGACTTGAAGAAATTAGTAAATGAAATCGTTTGAATAGTACGTATCGCGATCGTCATATCGAATAAAGATCTCGATCTCGATCGTTGAAAGAAAAGATCCATGAAGTAGTACCGATAAACGGCATCGTTCTGGAGTCAACTCGCTCGTTCTCAAAGCCATCGCTAGCTAAACTCTCTCCTGGCACGAAATGCGTGCCTACCACCGTGGTCGCTTACTTTTTTGCCCATGTAACTCTCATTTTGATCAATTTGAGTTTTTTACCGAAGCGGCAATCGTTGACTTTACTACCGAGGCCTCATCTCCTCCCTTCCCTCGACCTTTCTTATTCTTTCTCTCTCTCTCTCTCTCTCTCTCTCTCTCTCTCTCTCTCTTTCTCTCTTATGCCTCCTCTCCCCTTCCCCCATCTCCTTCCTCCCACCTTTCTCTCTACTGATTACCTTTCTCGGTAGTTCTCCCTCTCCGTAGCAACCGTGCACGCATACACGTGTCCGCATACATTAAAATATCTCATCTTCCGTCCCACGTTGTACGTACTCGATTCAAAGGCTGTGCGCGAGTTGTGTGAGTCACACTCTCTCTCTCACTCTCTCTCTCTCTCTCTCTATTTTTCTCTCTCTTTTGCTTCCGTGACGTCCGGAGTTTCAACTCGCTCGGCATCGCACGTTGACAGATAGTCGCCTGGGGGCGGCTTTGACACTAGCCGAATGCTTCCAACCGCGTTAATAAACGCCGCGGTATATCGCCCGCTCACTCAAATTCTTACATCAAAGCAAAGCAAATTATATTTTGATATCTCGTGTCCGCGGCTCGCTCAATTGTTTGTATTATCAAGCGCACAGTTCGTGATAGCTCGACTGAATGATACTACCGAGATTATAGATGTACGGAAATGTATTTAGTTAACTGTGGGAAAGAAGAGATGCAGAGATGCTCAATAAATGAGTCTGACTCCGATCAACAGGTATGTCGACTCATCGAGACCACCTTGAGCTTGATTGATCTGACCGACGAGCGAATGAATCGACAAACAGAATTACCCAATGAAAGTCGTTCTTTCTCTCTCTCTCTCTCTCTCTCTCTCTCTCTCCCTTCCTTTCTTTCTCTGTCTATCTGTCTGTCTGTTTGTCTCTCTCTCTCTCCCTCTCTCCCTCTCTCTTTTTCTCTTTTTCTCTTTTTCTCTTTTTCTCTTTTTCCATCTACCTACCTTAACATTTGTAAATATGACGGTCAAGCACAATAGCAGGTCGCACGTTATGGATCGTAATCGATCGTAGCATCAACCAATATCGAATAGTATAATCCAACGTAGATTCTTCGTAAAGAATACAAATGAATTATTTACGAGTTTAGAAAGTGCGCTGTAAAGTCGTACATACATATATACACGTTCGGAATTATTATTTTGAAGATTGCCACACGTCGATCTCATCTGGATAAATTGAAATTTATAAAAACACGCACACCTCATCGGGGAATTGAAATTTATAGAAACACGTCGATCTCATCGAATAAATACACGTGGTAATGACCGCTGAACGTGCGCTATTATCTCGTAGGTACTGGAATAATTGATGATCTTTCACGGACCGTTCATCCACGTTAGCCATCATCGATAATCTCTAATAACTCCGAACCCGACGCATATCGCCAAAGGGTATTCCATTATTAAATCCATCGAAGGAGCGCTTATTTGAACAATTCATTTTCAACACGGCTACCTCTTCGATATTACACTTTTAATGGTAATCTTATGCTCAACTCCTATATCGGAAGTCTATTATAATTCTCGCGAAGAAATGAAATTCATAATTTCGATAGAGAACTTCGATCGAGTATCTCGACATTGTTTATCATAGCGTTAACGATCTTATTGGTTAAAATTATTTTTCGTATCTTCTTACAAGGAAGCGGCATAATGGAAGCGTACAAAGGGATAGAATTTAACAGCGGTAAGGCAAGGCTTAAGGCGTTTCATATATTCAGCGCGGATAGACTTTATACTCTCATGATGAAAAAGAAGTCGAGAAGTACAAACGCACCCGCGGTGATGATTAACAACCAGTCCGACTTATATCTCCGTTGGTTCCTCGACGAGAACGAACGGGAGATGTAAGAGGAGGGGATAATCGATTAATTTACGATAGCCAACGCGCGCCGCTCTCACGGCCATTGTTTGTTGTTAATTACACAGATACATCTAATCGAGGAGTTTCGATCGAAGTCCCGACTATGATTCGGCGATTTAGTCCGGCATCCGGTCTCCTCGAACGATTTGAATGTTTCTTTGACACAGATATCGGTCTCGATATTTAACTACGTAGTTATGTATATATATGTATATATGTATGTATGTATTTATGTCGAATACCGATCGTGCAAGTTTCTTTCTCACTCTCTTTCCCTTTCTCTCTCTCTCTCTCTCTCTTCTCCTCTTATCTCTTCCGATCGATTTCTCGTACTCTTTACTCTCCAATTACGCTTGCTTTGTTCGCGATTAAGCGGATAATTTATGGACTTTCGGCTAAAGTGCTAGTGGAGATAAGTGAATCGAGTAAGGTTCGATATAACGATAAATAACAAATGATCGAACGGAATTGGTAATGGTTAGAAAGCTCGATTGAAAGAGAAAAAACTCGTCTCGCTGATTGGTCGGAGAAGCGAGGGTGGAGAAGGTTTGTTGTGCTCGGTGGTGTGCGTCGCGTTAATTAGTTGGTATTAGGATGGCGAGTGCCGAAGAGGCTCCTCCTTCTCATTGGCACGTAGCAAGCCGAAGAGATGGATCGATTACTTAACACTTGTCACGCCTCGCTAATTAACATTCAGTCATCCTCTTTCTCTCTCTCTCTCTCTCTCTCTCTTTCTCTTTCTCTCTCTCTCTCTTTTTCTCTCTCTCCCTCTCTCTTTCTCTCTTTCACTCTTTCACTCTTCCTTAGGTCTCCCCTCCAACAATCGTCGATAAACCGCGACGAAGACGTCGACGACGAAGCCAGGTGGAAAGTCGTTTAATATTTATCGACTATCGCTCGACCCCGTTGGCACCTCGAGGGAGTCGCGCCACTCACGTGGACGGCAGGCTGCACGCTGCCGGACAAATTAGAATTCGTCACGGCTATGCCGTGCGACGATTCATGGAAAATATTAGAATACCGGCGTCGTCTTCGCGACTGCGATTAGCGACGGATAAAGACTGTTCATCCTTCGTCGTCTTCGTCCTTCTTCTTCTCCTTCTCTTCGTCCTCCTCCTCTTCCTTCTCCTCTTAGTCCTCTCTCAGCAAAACTCGAATACAAGATGCCAACGACGTTCGCTTCGAATCTAATCTATCCGTTCGATCTTTGAAAGCATCGACCACGAACCGATCGACGATTTTGCATCGTCTGACGCACCTTAATCGGCGCTTTAACGCCTTTCGATAAATCTCTACCACCACGACGTTTCCACCGAAAGCGTAACACATTCTTACATTCGTTCGCCTTTCAACGCTTACCTATCTAATCTCACTTTCGTCGGGAATCAAGAAAATTAAGAATGTCGACGCGTTCGTCAATCGGTTGGCAATGCCAAACGGTCTCGGGTGGTCTCGAACCGATGTGATATCTAATGAGGCCATTAACACGCGGTACACCATCGAAGAAACTTCGTAGAACGTTTATGACAGCCAATGACCTACCTTCCATTAACGTTAACCACACGCTTGCTAGCAAGGCATTCGCCGAGTTTGCTCGATCTCGACTCGTGCCAGGTGTCCCATTACTTCTCTTACTTACTACTATCTACTTACGTTAATCGTTATCGTTATCGTTAGTTTTCGATAAGATATCATCGAATAAGATGAAACTTTATTTTCACGAGAAAACCAAAGATCTCTCTCGATTTGAAATATATTTTAATATTTAATCTCGCGTTCGTACAGCTAATCATAGCCTACCGTCACGAGTGAGACGACGACAACGAAAGACCGAGAAGTTGAAAAAGATTTCGCTTTGTCCTTCGCCTGGTAAATCAATTACCAAGAGAATTTTCGCGATATTTGAGCGGAGAAGAAAAAAATGCATACCACTATAATATACCTTTGCAGGCAATTACCTTAAGATTGCATCCAATCATAATCATTTTCACGCTGTCGAGGATAATCGAGTATCAGTGAAATCCTTTTCTCTCTTTCTCTCCAGCCCGTTCGAAGATCCCTCAAGGCCACATGCAAACGCAGAGTTAATGGCCCGTTAAGTAACGATCGACCTATGATACCTACGTAGAAACCGTGAGTTCGTAAGACGGCTAACAGTAACGATTATCGAGTAGAAGATATATAGAATTAATGTGAGATCAGTGGGGGAGACAGTATCGCTAATCGAGAATACGTCGTTTCTGCTGCAGATTCGTGCGAGCCGCTTGTGGAGCGACCTTACGGTGAGTGACTCACGATCTCAATTTCCTAGAAATTACAAGACGGTACTTACGATTCAAGAAAAATAACGCGAAACCTTCTATTCAGTGTCTTCCGTGAAAAGAAAAAGAAAAAGAGAAAAAGAAAAGAAAAAAGAAAGATCCTACCTATTACGTTCTCCGACTCGGATCGTTCATGCGGGCCTTCCACTGGCCAATCCGCTTCCATTCGGTACCTCGTTTACCGTTAATTTCATACGACTCTTGCGAAATAAGATACACGCTATCAAGCGGCCACCGAGAGAGAAAGAGAAACGGTCATCGTTTCTTTCCATTCTTTTCTTTCGCTTCGTCCGGTATAAAGAACCATCTTTCTGGATGGTTTCATTGGTATGTTATATGTATGTATATATATATATATATATATATATATATATATATGTATACATGACGTACGTACAATTCGTCAGTGCAAAACTAAAAATTTCTCCTTCAGAGTCAAAGTGGATTTCGGATGAACGCCAATGACGACGCTCGAGAACTCGTCCATCTCCATTCTGATATCAAACCGCTTGGAGCCGTTGGGTGGATATAAAAACTCACGTTGCATCCGGCCGCTTCTCTATGCCCGGAGTCGTAAAATTCAGCGTTATGCGATTCGGGGCCTGTGTTTTGTCCCCCTTCCGAGATTATGATTACCCCAAGAGCGGCGGCAGCCACCGTGGCTAATATCACGCAATAAGCGCGCTGCCTCCAAGAAAGCCAGCACTTCTCTCTCTCTCTCTCTCTCTCTCTCCCTCTCTTTCTCTCTGTCTTCTCACTCTGTCTATCTCTTCCTCCAGGTAGGTATATAATATGTGCCACCAAACTCGATGGCGTAAACGGCTATCTGGTGGAAACGCGTGGATGGGACTGGCAGGATAGAAGAAAAGAAAGAGAAAGAGAGAACAACGACAAAGACGAAGAAGAAGACGAAGACGACGACGACGACTCATCAAACGAGCCGCAAGACGAGCGAGAACTCTCTCTCTCTCTCTCTCTCTCTTTCTCTCTGTCTCTCTCGAGTGACTTCATCGTCGACTTTCCATGGACGTACATACACGTATACATACATTATATACCCTTTTTGACGTTCAAGATTCCAACGCAACTTCCGATCGTAAGACGACCATTCTCCGTATCCATTATAATATCCACTACGATTTCTAACGATTCTCTTTCTTCAAACGAGAAAAATAAAGAGAGTAACGGAGCTATGTCGAAATGACGCGTGGATCGAAATTTTCAGGGCAAGAGAATCAACAGGTCTTGGTTATGAGAGTGTAAAGCGTTTTGAATCGCAACCCCTCGAGGGTACGAATCTCCTCGGCGCGAATCTCATTGTACAAAAGGGCCGAATCTCATCCGCGGGGGGTAACGTACGCTTGTACTCTCTCTCTCTCCTTCGCTCTAGCACGCACAGGGAAAGATCAAGCGGCTGGTAGTAGGCCGTGCTCTCGAGGGGGGTGGGTCACGACCCCATACCGGGGGTGGCTGACAGCCGATTAGGGCAAGACGAACCCTCACGGAAAACTTAAAATAACATCGCTCGATCATCCGGGTATCTTCACCGACAGCCGATGGGCCTATCTCGTAGATACTTTTACCTTCTTTCTTTCCTCGTCCCTCTCCTTATTCTTTCTCACACAATCACTGCCTTTCTCGAGCTCGTTAGTAAGTGGCCACGCGTCAAAATTTCGTGACTTCCTGTTCGTATATAAATCCGATCTGAAAATCGTTCTCGAGTGCGTGTTCGATAAATAATCAATACTCGATCGCGAACATTGGATTTATTTCAACGATGAAGATCATTATCCATTTCCCCGTATCTATTCATGATCAAGAGTATGCCGTCACGTAGAAACGTACATAAAAGTCTTTGAGAAAGTTTACGATAAGAGAATATCTTGAATAGCGGCGGCGTGTAAAAAGACGTATGTCATTTCTTTGGACGTTAGGACGATTATCGTAGATAGAAAATGTGGGACGCGATTATTCCTAAATCGCGTTTCCTCCTGCCAATCTTTCGTTCCTTTCCGACTAGATGCTCTCATCGACGAAGATTCTCTCTCGATAATTTCTCATCCCAACGATTCATAAATTTGTCGATTACGATCGACTTAAGGGTTAAAAAAAAAAGAAAAAAAAGAAGAGAAAAAATAATAATAATCATCGGCCAAGAAAAATTCTTTCATCCCATCTAATTTCATCTCACAATTCCCGGTTCAATTCATCGATCGATGTAACGACTATGGAAAATCCAGTAGGAACAAAGTTGAGCACCTCTTCGATGCTCATTACAGTGTGTCCCGCCCCCGGCGGTGGGTAATCAGGGTGTGCGGGGTGAAGAGGGGTGCGGGGGCGGTGGGTGACCTCGCCCGGGGCCTTTACTCTCTTCTTCTTCGTTCCCCCTTCCTCTCCTCTCCCCCACACTTCTCGTCTTCGCTTGCTTGCTCGTTCGCGCGCGCGCGTTCTCGTCCTTCCTTCTCTCTCTCTCTCTCTCTCTCTCGCTCTCTCTCTCTCTCTCTTTCTTTCTCTTTCTTTCTGTCTGTTTCTCTCTCTTTTTCTCCTTCGCACCTTTTCGTCCATGACTACCTGCTAAGGTGGCAGCCCGAGAGGAGGCCGAATACCGCGACCTTGTCGATACTTTGCATTCGTTCTGCATTCGCGTCACCTTCTTCCTCCCCCAGCCCTCGCTGCCTTTCATTCGGAATTGGAGGAAGTCGTGCGTGTATACGCATGCGGCACAGAGGGCGGAGAACCTTCGCCCTTCAACGACTACCTTCGAACGGAAGTAAGAGAGAGAGAGAGAGAGAGAAAAAAGTTTATTTTGTTTATCTTCTCTCTTTTCCCAATTTGCTAAGTAATTATCTCCGATGCCTTTTGTCGTTTACATACGCAAATGAGAATAGTCGAAAGAAGAAGGATTTCGAGACTATGCTTTGGATTCTCCTAGAAGACTTTCGACGGACGTGCCGTTAAATAATTGGGTTCTAGCGAGGGAAACCGGTGCCCCATGCAAGGACTCTCAACTTGCGGATCCTGACATGAAAGAATATCGAATGATCGAGTTCAAGAAATGTTCGGACTTACCCGTACAATGACGTAATAAGTAATGAGTTTCGAGAAAAGTTTACCTAACGAGTATTAGCTCGGTTTAAACGTGAGATAGCTAGCTATGATATTTTCTCCGTTAGCTATTGGAATGTACAACGTGCACGAACTACGTCCGATCGTTCGTTTATCCCGTTAGCAGTTTGTTTCTTTCTTTCCTCGACAAACGCGGTGTCTCTCTAGAACTCGTTCGCTAAGCGAATAAGAAAAACGTTGACGCCAGTCGTCTTAGAAACGCCCCGCGAGTTTCTTCTGACTTTTCCGGCAAAGGCTTTGCAAGTTCAACCAGTCGAAGGTTCAACGCCGAAGGTTCGTTTCGATTCCGTAACGAAGATTCCTGATCGAATATGAACATCGAACAGGAACGATCAGATAGAATTCGTTGACTTCTTTGTAGCACCTGTAATTGAGTCATATTCCAACGAAAGAATGACAAAAAAAAGAAAAATAGAAACACAAATAAAAAAATTTCTGAACTTTGAAAGATAACCCGAAATAGTAGCCTGATACAAGATATAGAAGATGGAAAAGTATGAATCTTGTTAACACTCCAAAAAATGCGAGACAGCTTCGTTCATCTTATCTTGGGAGAGATCTACGAATGCGGACTTCAACGCTCGATTCAACCTACCTTCGTCTACCTAATGTTGAAAATGTGTTGCGACGATCTTGGGCTACCTGGGTTCAACATTAAAAATCTTCCTGTTATAGTACCAAAACGAGGAAGTAATGGTTCCATTTGGTAGTCCTTCGTAATCCATTAAAGAACACTATTCCGATGGTTTCCTCGACCTTCTCTTTATCGAGAATGAGACGAGCAATAGTAGTAGTAAGCGACTCGGATAGCTTGTTTGCGATAGCTGGAAAGCAAACTTGAAGAAGTTGAAAAAGCTGTCGTCTCCGCATTTCCGGAGAACGAACGTCAAGGAAGAGAATCTTATGATAAATCCGTGCGACGAGCATCCGCGTGTATCCTTCTAACTCATCGACTTTTCCCTTCGCCTTTTGCGTAATTTCTCGATACGGGAGAAGAGATCGCCGTGGATCGCCGCTAAAGGAATACCGAATCCTGTATTCATGAATGGACCGTGCATGGACCGAGCGAGATCGGCCAGTTGGAAGGACTATTATTTAGCATAGCCACTTTTTCTGGCTGGTCAGGTCGACCAATGGTCGGCGTTGTCTTTGTATCTTCGAACGAACCGATGACGTTGCAAAGACGACGAAGAGTGGACAAAGAGAGAAGGAAGAAAGGAGGAGAAGGAGGAGGAGGAGAAGGAAGAGAAGGAAGAGGAGGAGGAGGAGGACATCGTTCGAGTAGATATCTGGAGCACCGGGAGGTTGGGCCCTTCGTCGCTGCTAATGGACGCCACAACGCTTCGCCGGGACGCTTTATTATCGTAATTTCGCTTCTATTAGTCGAACGAACAAAACTGTCCACCGTGTCGGTAAAACTTGACTTGGTCGTTCCGTACCAACTACGTTGGCACTTTGTAATAAAGTGGAATGAAATGACGAGTTTTTCCATGATCTTCTTAATAATCTAAAAGCCCGCGTAACGGAAGCTCTAACGCGTAGGGAGCGTGAAAGGAAAGAATTCGATCCGATCTCATTGGAAAGTGGGTCGGATACGAAAGAAAGAAGCGTTGGTTAAGTCGAGCAGCACGTATCGGGTCAAAGGAATGCGACTTTTTTAGAGGAGGCTGGATTTGAATCCAAAGGCGGTAGCGAATCAGTGACGCTGTCGAACACATCGGTTGAACGCATCGAAGGGAACTCGTGCCGCGCGAGGCTAATCGTCGTCCAACGAGATCCGGCTGTTCGTGTGTTCGCGCCTCAGCAACAAAACGAGAAGCAATCAAACGAACAAT